TATTAAAATTCCTTGAACATAGGCTGGGCTTGGTGGCTCAACCTGTAATCCCAGCACTTTGGAAGGCTGAGGTGAGTGGATTGCCTGAGCCCACGTGTTTGGGACCAGTCTGGGCATCTTGGCAAGACCTCATCTCTACAACAAATCAAAAATTAACCTGGTGTGGTAGCACGTGCCTGTAGTTCTGGCTACTTGGAAGGCTGAGGCAAAAGGACCACCAGAACCCAGCAGGTCAACGCTGGGGTGGCCGTGAGTGTGCTGTGGCACTCCAGCCTGGGCGACAGAGTGAGACTCCAACTCAAAAAAAAAAAAAATTCCTTGAACCTAATGCCCATCAATTGAATAAAGACATGCAAATTGAAGGTATTATGAGATACCAGCACACACATATTAGAATGGCTAGTACAAGGTAAACATACACTTACTATACTATCCTGCTTGCAACAGGAGTAGGCGCACAGTTCCTGAGGAGCATGTAAGAGCCGTGACTGGGATTATTATTGCCAAAGACCCTCACAGACACTACTGGGTGATGTGGGGCCAGTAAGTCAGAGCCATCTTTCTGCAGGGTCCCTGGACTTATGTCAGAAATAAAGTGCACTGGCTCCCCCAAGCCAGCAGGTAGACATATGGAATGTTTGTACTCTGACAAAGGGGTATACCTATGTATAATAAAACAGTCCATGCAGGAGCTTTCATAAAATACAGGTAAGTCTCTTACCCAAAAGATGCATTCTTATAGGCCACACCATCCACAGCAGGGGAAATGAAAAAAACTCCCTCCAGACTATGTGGAGAGAAGGGTCTACATACATCAAAAACTGGCAGCATAAAATGAGATACTGGTAATTCTTCTAGATGCACAATACAACATGGAGGCAGAGGATCAGAACTTAGGTGAGGCTGTAACCTGGAGTCCTGGGTACAAAGCCTATTCTCTCTGTGTTCATTTCCTTATATGTAAAATGGAGAAACTGTACTCATCTCAGTCCATGGGAGGTGAGAATATTGACATTCAATTCAGTATCACTGTGGAGGCCCTCTATGGCTGTGTGGACACATTTCTCCTCTGGTCACAGCCCACAGCCCTTCATAGCTGACTGGCAGGAACATCAGTTTCCCATGCTGCACTGACTGAAAGATTCAGGTGCTCCCTACTGCAGCAACCCAAATGTCACTCCTCTTACAATCTGTTGTCATCTGCTCAGGATGCCACGGTAAAATACGACAGAATGGGCAGCTTAAACAACAAATACTTGTTTTCTCACCTTTCTAGAGGCTGGGAAGTCTAAGATCAAGATGCCAGTTGACTGGTTTCTGATGAGGGCCCTCTTCTTGGTTTGCAGATAGCATCCTTCTTGCTGTGTCCTCACATGGTGGAGAGGAAGAGTTCTGGTGTCTCTTCTTATAAAGACACTAATCCTAACAAACCTGGGCTCTAGCCTTATGACTTCATTAAACCTTAATTACTTCCTTACTCCAAATATGGCCACTGTAGGGGTAAGGACTTCAACATATGAATTTGGGTGGAGCGCAGGGAGGAGCACAGTTCAGTCCACAGCATGAAGCAGCCAGTCCCAGATGAATGTCCTATAGCTCAGGGTCACCCTGTCCCCTCCTCAGTAACATTCCATCATCTCATCACCTGACCCTGTAGTAATTAAGGAAGCACTAAGTCTGAAACCTGAAAAGTGTGAAAAGTGAAATTAAAGTGAAGTCCAAGAAGGCAATGACAGGAAAAACATGAGCTGCAAATGCAAGTCCAGGAAAGGTAAGTGGTTAAGAGTGCAAACTTGTCTGAGACTGCCTGGGATCAAACTGTAGCACTGCCTCCCATCAACTGTGTGACCTAGAGCAAGCCATTGGCCTATGTTAGCCTCAGGCCCTGGACCCTCTATTTCTCTGTCCTATCTATGGAAGAGAGCAAGCCCATTTTAAGAGCAGGTTTTCTTTTCTTTTTTTTTGAGTTGGGGTCTCACTCTGTCACCCAGGCTGGAACTACAGGTGCGCCTGGCTTATTTTTTGATTTATTGTAAAGATGAGGTCTCACCATGTTGCCCAGGCTGGTCTTGAACCCCTGAGCTCAGGCAATCACCTTGGCCTCCCAAAGTGCTGGGATTACAGGCTTGAGTCAACACCCCCGGTCTCAGGTGGGGTTTTTTTTTTGTTTGTTTTTTGAGTTGGAGTCTCACTCTGTCACCCAGGATGGAGTACAGTGCCACACTCACAGCCACCGTAGCCTCGACCTGCTGAGCTCAGGCAATCCTTCCATCTCAGCCTTCCAAGTAGCTGGGATTATAGGCATGCACCACTACGCCCAGCTAATTTTTTTGATTTAGTGTAGAGATGAGGTCTTGCCAAGTTGCCCAGGCTGGTCTCAAACCCATGGGCTCAGGCAATCCTCTCACCTCGGCCTCCCAAAGTGCTGGGATCACAGGCCTGAGCCACTGTACCCAGTCTCAGGTTTCAAAAACTATTTAAGGATGTATTAGTCCACGACATATTAAGGGGTGACCAGTGTCTCAGAACTAGGCAGAAGGAGGGGAGAAGTAGACAGGGATAAAGATAGAAAAGTGGCAAGGCTAGTGACTATGGCACTTGGGACACCAGAGATACAGCTCAGGCACCAGGCATGAAAGAGCTCAACTCCAGGACACTCCCACCCCAGCTTGCAATCTCCGTGGCTGAGCTTCTTTAGGACCTTTTGTACCATCCCTGGTTTCAAGTCTACTTAGTCCATAAATCTGTGCTCTTGACCGTACTCTAGTTGGATGAACTCATTGACTGTAAAGGTGACAATCCTGTGGGGGAATATTGGTTAAAGTACATTCTAGGGCAGACTGACCCACCATGACAGTCCACAGCTAATTATGACAGGCATGTACCATGAGCTGGTAGGAGCCTCACCTGTGCCTGCCTCCACTAGAAAGTTGCACAAGTGTCACAGAAGAACATGGTTGCAAGGATTATCTGAGGATGTGATCAGCTCAAGGAATATTAAGGAGAGGTAAACACTGCCTAGCTAGGCACTAAGAACAAATAAGGGGCATAGCCAGAGAACTGGTAGTCAAGAGGTTAGAAAAATAAGCAGTCAAGGAGGCACCAAGACCTGAGAGGGCATGGGTAAGGCACCAGATGTGAGAAAAGCCCACTTCTGGGGGCAGTCACCAGAGCCAGATCTCCTCAGGACCCTTCTGCCACAGGGGGTTTTGAGACTATGTTGTCCACCTGCTGGTGGGAAGGTAGAAGCCACCAGACCTGTGGCAGTTGATGGGTTTGGGAGAGGCCAGACCCTAGCAGCTGAGACTAATTCACATGCCAAGGAAAACACTGAACTTCACAAACTGGAAGTCTAGGGAAGACCCCAGAGAGAGCCCAGTGACCCTACAAACAAAAATCATGTCAGTGTTTGTCTGGCATCTTACAGAAAGTGACTGAGCTGGACAAGACCTGCTGTGAAGACTGAGAGACTTCTGAGCCCTGATCTTGGCCACTCACGGCCCTTGGGTAAAACGCGCAGGAGTACTCACGCAGCTGCTTGGTATGGGAGGCATGGACTGGGAGTCAGCGCCAGACTCAACGCAACTTCCGAGGGGCACGTGGGAAAAGCAGAGGGAAAACCAGAGTTCTGATTGGGGACAGCGAGATGCCAGTGGCCTGACCGAGGGAACCAATGAGCACAAAGTGCTCCAGCATTACCCCCAAAACACATGCTCCTCTGAACCTCGTTCGAGAGCTTGGCTCCTCCTGGGAGACACAGGGCCAGTCCTGTAAGAGGGGTGCGTCTGAAATCAGCGCAGGACACTCAGGAGCCTGGCCATCTTCTGCCAGCCTCCTACACCAGTGTGTGCCGCTGCGCTCACCCTCCCCACCCGGCCCTGTGGCGCCAGGGCTTGATGCGGGGTAGGTTGTGAGCCTGCCGTCTCGGATACGTGCCAGGCGACCAATCCCGTGCGTCCCACGCCCGTGGTCCACACGTGGCCCGTTGATACCCCCAACTCCTCCTCCTAGCGACGTTCCCTGGCCACTGACCGGCGCGCCTTCCCGAGCCTCCAGCGCCCGCTCCGTTAAGGGGGAACATCGCAAAGGGAACGATTCCGGGCGGCCAGGCCCAGGCGGGCTTTGGCAGAACTCCGGCGGGCACCCCTGTGCCGCGCAGCTCGACAGCCCCACGGGGCAGCCCTGCTCCCCCGGGCTCAGCGAGGAACGGCCGCCGTGGCCTGAGCGCGTACAGGTCGCGGGACAGGGCCCGCCCGACTGCGTGTTTTTCCCGCTCAGGTATACGCGGCCCGGGGGCAACACCCAGACGCCATCGCCCAGCCCCGCAATACACCTCCAGTCGTTCCACAGCCCCGGAAAGAAGCCGACGCCAGAAGTCCCTCCCCGTCGCGCGGCCCGGCCGGAAACGCCGCCGTCTTGGGCGGTCCTTGGCCGCGTCTGTGCGGACGCACGGCGAGGTTGCTTATGGGAAAGGTAGTTCCGGTGCGTCTTCTGTCAGTTCGCACCCTCGCGCGTCGCCTTGGCGACGACCAAGCGGCGCCGCGAGGGGAGCAGGAAATGACGTCACCTTGTGGGGGCGCCGGGCTACCGAGGAGCAGGATAGGTGAGTGGGTGGGACTTCCGCGTCGCCTGCCGTCCTCCGCGGTGGGGGGGCCGGCGAGTGCGTCTCGGGGGCTCCGCGCGAGTTGGCTGACTTCCCCGGCGGTCGCCCCGCGAGACGAAGGGCCGAAACTCTGCCGCGTCTCAACACGCACCGTGAGCCCACCTGGCGGGCGACCCCGCCTGCCTGGCCTTCGGTGTCGCCCCGGACCGGGCGCCGCGAGCCTCCGGGGCCTGCGCGCCGCCCGCCCTCCCCGCTTCTCCCGGAGACGGCCCACTTTCCCCTGGCGGACGGAGCTCTGCCTTCGCGGTGTCCGGGATCGCCGCTCCGGGAAGCGTCTGGCGGAGTCCGCCGGTGGGTGCCGTTCGGCGCTTCTCGCGACCCGGCTCCGCTTGCGGGCTCCGATGGCGGAGGAGAAGCAGGTGAGCGGGGCGGGCCCGGAGAAGTGAGGAAGGCCGTCGGGCCGGGTGGAGTCGGGCAGGGGCCTGCGGCCTGCGTGTGGCTTCGGGAGGCGGAGGCGCAGGTCCGGGAGGGGGCTTCGACGCGGGCGGGGGATGCCCTCGGCGAAGGAGCCTTTGGAGGGGTGGGTCGAGACTGGGCAGACGGGGTCGTGGTTGCTGTGCGAGGCACTCGAGACGCCACGCGCAGAACGGCTTGCGGCCGGCCACGGAATTGCCCGTGAGCGAGCTGGTGAGGTGGTGCGGAGGGTATGGAGTTGCACGCTGGCTGCTGTCTGCCTGGTGGGCAGGAGGGCCTGAGGAAAAAGAGGGAGCATAGGTTTGGTTGCATCGCAGAGGTGTGACCTGTAGAACTTGGAATTGGCAGGCAGAGATGGGGCAGGGCCTTGGTGCTTGGCGCAGCAACTAGATGGCACCAGTCTGTCTATCAGCCTGTTGTTGCTGTGGGCCGGACACAGTGCCCAGGGGTAGCACCGGAGGCATCGATGACACCGGGGGCTCTGTATTCCTCTGAGGTAGAGGGAGGAGTAAGGGCATATGTGGGGGATATGGTGGGAGAAGGTTTGCGGCTCATAGGGAAAGATGATGCCAGTAGGAAATGTGATAGGACCCTGAGACACAGATCAAGAATTTGGATGTGTCCTGTCCATATGTGGTTGTTTTTTTCTGCCCACCATTGACCCCAAGGCTCAGTTGAACCCATCATTGCAGGACTTGGTGATGTTTGAAGATGTGGCCGTATATTTCTCCAGAGAGGAGTGGGGACTCCTTAATGTGACCCAGAAGAGTCTATACCGTGATGTGATGCTAGAGAACTTTTCACTCATTAGTTCACTGGGTAAGTCTTTCATACTTGCCCTCAGCACATTGACCACCTCTGCCTTTTCCTAATAGAATGTTCTTTTTATGCCAAAGCCAGACCATTGGGGCTGCTTCCTTCCCAGACTCCCTATTGCAGGTGTGTGAGTGCCAGGACTGTGCTATGTGCTGTTTCCCTGCCTCTCTCTGAACAGCCCCATTAGCAGCCTTAATAACACTTGTCGCCCCAGGACCTAGTGGAGCAGGGTTTGGAAGTGAGATGTTTCACAGTTTGCCCACCAAATCCCACCCAGCTCTGCCTCTCTCTGAGCTTGTGGCTCTGCTGAAGACATGGTCCCTCTGTGCTCTAGGTTTTGCCTTCTTCCTCCCAAAGAAATTTTACAGGGCCCTCCTTAGACCAAGGTAAGCCATGAGTTTGAATCAGTAGAATAGTTTGAGGATTATTGCTGTCTGGGTATTAAGTCTTGCCAGGTGTGGTGGCTCACGCCTGTAATCCCAGCACTTTGAAAGGCAGAAATGAGAGGATTGCCTGAGCCCAAGGGTTTGAGACCAGCCTAGGCAATATGAGACTTCATCTCTACAATTAAAAAAAAAAATAGCCAGGCATGCTGGTGCATGCCTATACTATAGTTCCAGCTACTTGGAAGGCTAAAGCAGAAGAATCGCCTGAGCCCAGCAGGTTGAGGCTGTGGTAGCCATGAAGATGCCACTGCACTCCAACCTGGGTAACAGAGTGAGACTCCAAATCAAAAAAGGTGTGTGTGTGTGTGTGTGTGTGTGTCTGTGTGTCTGTGTATGTATATGTCTTTAGGGTTGTTTTTTTATTCATTTAGGTCATTAGTTTTTTTCTTCTTTTCTTTTTTG